GTTGAACTTTGAGCCATATAGTGTGTCCTTTTGTGTCCAACAAAACAAAACATGTGTTTGAAAGAAACAGATTTTTTTATTTTTCAAAAATTGCAATTTCATAAAAAATTCACCATGACCAAACCCAAATTCATATTGCAAATGTAACTGATAATCTTTAATTGCAAAAATCAAACCACACTTCAGATGCATCTGTCTGTCTCCACAGAGACAGACAAATGCATTTAATGCCGTACTGTGGAATATTCTAACCAAAGGAACCGTGAGATGCAACTTGTGCCCTGCAAAGAAGGACTGAAAAACAGGTTCAACCTGCTGCAAATGTGGGAAACACAGATGCAAGTCCCACACACACAAAGTTTCCCACCACTGCTCTGAATAAACTGACGAGCTGCAGTGGAGAAACAAGAATGTATTAGAAACAGTTCTAGAATATTCCTGTCATTTTCAAATGCAATAGATATATATATAGAAATCATATAGAAATCATAATGGCTTTTATGTTTTGATGTGTTTTGTACAGGACATGACACTGTGTGACAGAAGATGTTTTTCTCCAAAAATGAGTCTTGTAAAACTTAAAAAAAAAAAAAAAAAAAAAGCTCTTTCTGCTCTCTGAAACATTATATTTATAAATTACATGTATTTATAAAAGTGGGACAGTCTATTTAGACATTCTAAATAGATCTGTAGTTTACATAACACACACCCAGCCCCAACAACACAACGTAACACACACCAAACTGGTCCAAGTCCCGGTCCAGTCAGGTCCAATCAGGTCCAGTCAGGTCCAGTCAGGTCCAATCAGGTCCAGTCAGGTCCAGTCAGGTCCAATCAGGTCCAGTCAGGTCCATGATGTGGGGTCCAGGAGCACCATCTGGTTGTAAAACTCGTCTTAATCCCACTTCCCACTTGACAGAGACAAACTTATTGGTCAATGAACAATTTATTGAGATTTAAGTTCAAACTTTCTTTAAGACGTTTGTTGTTACAGCATCAGAGACAATCAAAGACCTGACATAAACCACGTCCACGCTCAAGAATTATATGTCATAATCTCCGATGGAGAGCAGTGGTCTATATAACTCTGTGGGAGGTTGAGTGTTTTTGAAAGAAATACCCAAAATAAAAATCCAGAATCCAGCAGCCTGCAATGTTAATCATCTTAAAGTACAATAATACCAACTTATCGACATAAAATAACAAAAGAAAATAGACTTTCACTTTAAGTACTTGGTTATCCATATATGTTGAAAAGATGGTCGTCCCCAAACTCCACTATGTGTTTCAGAGCAGTGAGGAACAACACATCCACAGCTTCACGGTCTGGTCCTTCATAGTTGTTTCTCACTGGAAAGATGCAGTTAACTGGGATTCCAACTTTAGAGGTAAAGTACTCCATCTGTAAAAAACACAGTTTGTTTCTAATTTAAGTCAACTAAAGCCGGGTCAAACGCAGAGGAATGGGTCAAACGCAGAGGGCACATATGTCTTTACTCCCTATGGGGACAGTACAGTGCACCCTAACGTAAAAAACACCCTAACGTGTGTAACGTAAAAAAAAAATTTAAGGGCATTTTTTTGATGCCGTGGACTGAACGGACCTTTAGTCCTAGACATAGACTATATCTAATAAGCCCCACGCACTCTCAGCGTCACCCAGAGCATCCAGGGCATTTCTATAATAAGAATAATTGTTTAAAATACGATCTTATGATAGTTCTATGCCCGGGGGACGAGTGGAGAGATTACAGGCTAAACATTCAACAGTAACTAGTGCTGTGAGTCCCGGACACACTGTGGACTTGAAGCAGAATAAGAGAGGAGGGATAACAGGAGAGTGTACGGGAGGTGATCAGTGGCCCAGCAGCATGTGTGCCTCCCGGGGATTCTAAAGACGAGTGACTGAAGTGTGAAAGTCCAGTTTGATGGATCTGCTGCTGTGAAACACTCTGGTTCTGTGGAATACAAGTGTCAGGGCCAAAGTGTTTTTATTGTTTATTACCGCTGGATTTGTCGGCAGAAGGCTGCTTGTGCTGCTTGTGATGAGACCGTATTCTCTTCTGCTCTTTTAGTTAAGAGTTTTTATGGTTTTGCAGTTTGTGCATCATAAGCATCAGATCAATAACAGCTTCATCCACACCTGTGTTTATCTTGTGTCTGTGTGAGCCTGTTTTGCAGAGTGGCTCAAAGCTGGAGCGTATGTGTCCTCTGCTTGAATATAGAATTTAAACTAATATACTGGGAAAACTCTTTGTTCAAGGCTTTTGTGGTAAAATGTGAGAATGACGATCATGGGAACTGTAAAAACTACAGTATAAATCTATCACTACTGTTGCATGTGTTTCAGGAATATTAACTTGCACCGTCCAAACCAAAACCTGTGCATAAAAAATAAAAGTTTAACTTGCCTTTTTCTTAAGAGCAATGCTCTTGTAGACGTTCTTGACATCCTTGTCAATCTCAGGACAGATTTGATCAATGTGTGTGGCAACGGCCATCTGAGGAATGTCTGATACAAGAACAAAAGCACATGGTCATGGTGTGTGGGGTCATTAGTTACTGGTTTAAATTCAGATCTTGGTTCATGTTACGTTAAGGTTCCTGTTCAGGTTACAGTGTGTATGAAAGGTTTTCATGTTTTTCTAATTCTGACTTGTTTTGATCTGTGGTAAATATTAAACTTTTAGCAGTAAAGTGGCTGCTTGTGAACAAGAAATTAGAAAAACGGTGAAAAAACAAAACAAAACAGGAAGTAGCAGGAACTATTTACCCAAAAGAAACAGTCTGATGATTCATTTAACAAAATAAAGGTGGGAGCTCAGGTGGGACAGTGTTTGCACACATGCTTGGTTCTGTGAGCAGAGCGCAGGTTTTGGATCACTGAGCTAAACTTCACTTGGTTTTAGCTCTGCTCAATAAGTGGATCTGCATTCTGTACAGACTGTTTATTTAAATTAGAAGTGATCATGGGCACAAATGAGTTATTATCTTATTTAATTATTCCACAAATCTGATTTTTTTATTATACCAGGAAGAAAAATTATACACATTGCCCAAAGTTTCAAACTGTGTTTGAGTAACTCTTTATGAATCGTCTGTCTACATCTCCAAAGCTCAAAATGCTCCGTTCCACCTTGTGATGTCATGAAGTGGAAGTTTTCAAGTGAACAGCTCCTTTTACCCTTAGTTCAGCAGAGACTGACAAATCCAGGGCTGAAATGGTCCAAATGATTCTAGTGAAAGTGTGTGGAGTTTAAAAACACACCATACACAGATGTGGGCCATTTAAGGGCAGGATCAGTCTTGAACTGGATTCAGTATTTTTTAGTCAAAGTAATGTTCAGTGTCAAAGTAAGTTAATGTAAGAACCCAGCATGTGTGTAGATCTTACCCAGATCTCTGGCCGCTTCTTTGATTTCTCTCATCTTCACAAGAACTTCTGGACTAATCTCTGTGATGTTTGCGTTCAGGATACACACCAGAACATGGACTTTGTCATCAATAGAGGGATTTCCATTGTATTTCCCATCTTCAGGTGATATTGTATTCTTTTGATCAAACTAAAACAGGGAAAGTTTGTTTTTATTATCTTAATTTGTAAAATGAAATCTGGGTGAGTTACATTTATAACAGCTCCTTTATGCTGCGTTCAGACCACACTGTCAGAGGCAGAAGGTTTATGCAGAGTCTGGGGGGGACACACATCTGGCTAATCCAGTGTTTCCACAGCTCGTCTTGAACGAGTTAAAACTGAGATTAAATTAGATAGATGCTTTTTTTTCCTAAAGGAAATTAGTTTTTCTGTTCAGTTTATAGTCAGTTAATCAGTTTTGCAGTGTGTCAAAAATGACATCTGCCTTCAAATGCAAATTTGTCCACCGGCAGGTGTTTGGATCTGGTTTGATGCTGTGCTCTGAACCCGGCATTAGACTTTTATACAAGTGGACATAACAGAGTTTCCAGTGACGTGCGGTGAGGTTTACAGCTGGTGAGGCAAAGTGCACTGGGCTCAGGAATGAGCACTAAGCTGTTTTCTTTACAAGCAAATAAGAATCATGTTTACTCAGGAAAATATTGAGCTTTAATTATTTTTTTTATATAAACAAAAAGGGAAGAAAGAAAAAGTAAAGATAAAAATAACAGAACGGGGTCTTGGAACATGGGGGTTAACAACTTACAGTTCAAGTAGAAACATCTCCATGAACTCTGAAAAACCCCGGTGTCTCTCTCTGTAACTTCTGCTGTCAGACTCGTTATTTTGATCTTAAAATGTTCATTTTAACCCACTCTCCGTGATCCTGGGATTTTATTTCACTATTTTATCAGTAATTCAGAAAGATGCTGTCACACTCCATCAGTCCACATCTCATCTCTTCAGTCTCCTCACCGTATAGCCGTCCATTACATGTCCTTCCATGGCCAGTCTGATGTCGTCCGGCCGAACTCCAACACCTCCTCCAGCTTCTATTCCCATTATGTCGTTGAACACAATTGGGATTTTTTTGCCTTCAGATCTTATTTTGTAAGTTCTGTACTAGAAGGAAGGAAGAGAAGATTTGAATTACAAACTAAGAACTGTCCCACTATCTTGATTGTTAAAATGCAAATAAAAAAATAAAGTTACTGTTGTGGTGAAGCTTTGAGTAGCGGAGGTGCTAGTTTCGACACCAGCGCCGCTATATGTTCTGCCAGTAATAATACTGATGGCAGTGTTGATGAAGGAGGATTTTCCCACACCCACTGGTCCATAGAGCAGGACGCGCAGGTGAGAGGCTCCTTCTGGTTTGAACCTTTTCACAAATCTAAGAAGATCGTCCTTTTGTCTGTTGAAGAGTTATACTGTCAAACACTATTGATGCAGAGTAACAGGAGCATGCACAGAGTAAAGTCTGAGACACTGTGCAAATGAAAACATGTTAAAGTCAGATGTAATCAGCTCACCTCCAGTTAATCTCTCTCCAGGGCTGGTTCAAAACTGCAGAGAAAACAGAGATACATGCATGTATATGTACACACAGCTCATACATGTTAGTAAACCTGCACCTCTTTTGCCTTTTGCCACCAAATAATCAATAATAATATCTGTTTGTCTGGCCTGGTGTGGGATTTGCACCGTAACCTGAACGTTCCAAATAATTAAATAGATTAAGTTGTGTAAACTCAAAGTTTTAGAAATAGTCTGACTAACTTAATTATGTCAAGTTGCTTTAACATGTTCCTCTTTTTGAATAATTTTAATAATAGGGGGGCATCATTTGCCCCAGAAATTCAGACTCGTACCTAATTTTAAAATGTGACAATAACAATTAAAAGAATCTGTGGAATATTTGCTCAATTGAATAAAATCATCTGGGTCCTAAGCTGAATAATAATAATATAAATTATTTTTATTTTAATAATAATTGCTTATTCAAGGACCTTGACGTCCCAAAGAAATGACACTTTTGCCAAATCTCAGAAACTACTGATGACAGAGACATAAAATGATGCACAATGTCCATATTTATATTCAACTTTCATTGATACTATTGGGCTAAATTTATTATTTTTGATGTTATTAAAGAAAAACAGATTTTTCAGCTCAGATTTCAGACTTCTGCAGACACTAAACTTGTGTAAAGTTTAAAGTGTAAAAAATTTATTCTAGGCACAGATTGATTTTCAAAAATGTTTCAAAAAGTTGGGCAAATGATGCACCCGAGTGTATGATATACTCTGTGTGTACTATAATGTTTAATGTGTAAGTATGTACGTATTATTAAACTCTATACATATTATATAATAATGATGTGAGGAACCTGAGTTTAAATCCCCCTCCTACAGTGTGGATAATCTTATGTTTAATGTGTCTATATGTATAATATCATGTGTTTATAGTGTAATATATGTTAACTATAATGTGTGTAGACACAGCTGGATGGACTGGATTGTGTGTATAATGTTTGTCATGAACTATATACAAATCTGAAAATGTAATTATTCCAGTGTTTTGAAAACTCTAACTGCAAATATTTGAGTTGAGCTAAAAGACACTTTGAATTCAGCTCTTTTCAAAAGGTACAAGTAGTAAACCATCCAAGCTTTTAAGTTCTAAAAGATTGTCACTTATAAATTCATCAACTTTAAATAATTGAGGCAAACGATTGCATCTTTTTTTTTTATCTTTTTGAGTTCTGGTAACTTATTGGGTTTTACAGTGTAGCAGTTGTTCATTGTTTAATCTAATGTTTAGATATTGACAGTGTGAGTCAGATCAGTGCAGGCACAGTGACAGTGATCACTGTGTCCTTTCTAACAATATGAGAACACTGAACAGGCATCAGAGTTAAACTAATCAGTTTCTGTTTGTCTCTGTGCAATAATCCAAATGTGTATTTTAAAGATAAGAATGATCTGCAAATAGAACTTTTGAGAAATACATGTTTGCCTAGAGTTTGGGTTCGCAGTCTTGCAAACAAATACTGTTTTGTTAAAATTCTTCTTCTGGAAATTGGAAAAATATCAGATAATGCCCAGAACTTACGTGTACTTTCACCTCCTCCCATGATCTCGAATTTGATGTGACAAAACCTGAAATGATAATTGTCTTAAAAATGGGAAGGCAACAAAAAATAAATATTGAAAAATGTTTAATTTGATTAAAAATCAAAGCTGTTCCATCAGTATGAAAGTCAAAAAGAAAAGGTAAAGCCACTTCTACTTAAAATCTCCCCCCCACAAACAAACAGACAAACAGACAAACAAACAAACAAACAGATGTACCAGCAGAAGTCCGTCCAGAGAATGAACAGAAGAGTCTCTGCAGATGATTTTATATGAAACCCTCCCTCTCCCTCCCCCTTCCTCAGACGCTCACAGGACGGGGGTGTCACCTGTACATATACACAGTACACAGTGCTGAACAGAAGCAGTATTTCTGTGGGTGTTACTTCAGATCACTCCTCTGATGGGAGGAACTCTCAGATAAAGACTCCACTCTCCTCAGGCTGCAGTCACAGAGACACAGCAGCAGGTAGGTCTATTTTTCACACTCTTCCTCTCACACTCGTACATGAACACTGACACTGCATGTTTAATTTGACACAACAAGTGTAAGTCAACAACACTGGATCAGCCCTGGACCACATCATTTACATAACTCTGTCATTTACATCATTTACAGGTCTCTAACTGTCTGTTTATTCAAAATTACAGCATTGAATTTTTTCACTTTTGTTTCTAAAAGGATCCCAAATTCAGGCACAAAGGGTTTATTATCTCAGTTTTCCAATAGACAGGAGCGTTATTTATCTGATTAGTGAGTTAGTTACTCACGATTATTACATTTTCAATATAATTTCAATTATAAGTTTTTTTTCTCACCCCATTTTACCTACAGTTTTACATAAAATGAGTAACATTTATCTAATTTACTGGGGTCTATTCATAGAATACAGTACTATACAGTCTATTTTTCTCATTAAGAGTAAAATGCAGACAACATTTCTTCTTTGTGATAAATAGTAATTTAGTAATTTGTCACATTTTAAACTCCTGTACAAACAGATGTAGTGATTCTTGTATGTTTCCTTCATCTGTCAAGATGGAAGGTGGAACACCTCCCCCTGGTGACATGGAACTGAACAACTCTAATGAAGACGAGGTTAGTCTAAACAACTTCACCCTGAACATGACTTGGATTTTATATAATGTTTAAAATAAAACACTGTTACATGAACCAGGTCAATCCAAACTACAGTCAATAATTATAACAGATTTGAGGACATTTCACACTTTGAAAAGGCCCAAAGTGACATGAAGCAGAACTCTACAACATCTAGTTTACACTCATTTACACTCAGTCTGGACCCGGGGTCAGTCTGGACCCGGGGTGAGTCTGGACCCGGGGTGAGTCTGGACCCGGGGTCAGTCTGGACCCGGGGTGTCTGGACCCGGGGTGAGTCTGGACCCGGGGTGAGTCTGGTCCCGGGGTCAGTCTGGACCCGGGGTGAGTCTGGACCCGGGGTCAGTCTGGTCCCGGGGTCAGTCTGGACCCGGGGTCAGTCTGGACCCGGGGTCAGTCTGGACCTAAAACTCTGCGGCACGAAGCCTTTTCTGCGTTTCAGGCGATTTGAGCTCAGTGAACATCAGGTGTGAACAATGAGCAGGTGTTGAGCGATGGAAGCACAGAGTGTTTAATTTACGTGTCTGTGGCTTCAAGTTAATTTTCCCGCGGTGGGACTGAACGTTCTGTATGTGTTGTTTGTGCCTTAGACACAAGTCTTTTGTGCTGTTTATGATTTGTTTGGCGACACTGACTGTGTGACACAGTATCGTCCTCACATATCTGGAAACTCATGCACCCTGAGAAAATCTACAGTGCTGATTCTCTGATGCAAACTGGACCCCAATCCCCAAAATAAATGACAACACAGCGAGCACGGAGGGACACGTGAATATCGACTGAATATGTGTAGCAAATCATGACACCAGTATCGAAAGATTCGATATTATACTGAATATCATTGCATCCTTACTGCTGACTTTCTGTTTTTCTCCTTCATTAGAGAGTTATAAAGAAAGTAGAGTTAAAACAACAATTATTAAAATACTAAATAAATTTTGAGTTATTTGAGACAAACTGGGATGATGGGAAAGGCTGCTACAAATAGACTTCTGGGAAATTAGAGGTGTGGTCGAGGTGAGTTGTGGTTTGCTGGTGAGGAGGAGAGGGCGGTCGGGGCGTGGTCCACCTCCTGGATCTCAGTTAATCATATTAACTACTCTTATCTGTAGAAACACTTTGTTCTGACATGTTTTCTGCTCTTTTACCACAGGCCCGGAGCCTCCTACAGAAGCTCTACAGTCTTCAGTGCTCTCCTGAACTTATTGGAAGTACGTTCACATTTTTTGCTTTTTTCTCATGAACAGAAAAGTTTCTGGTTTGACCTGATCCTGACGTTGTCTCGCTGACTTAGACACTGCATCCCCTTTGTCCGCTCCACTAACTATGATGCTGATGGTGTCAAATCTGTACAACGATTAGATGAAAAAAGGAGAGCAGCCCAATCGAAAAAGACATTTTTTAAAATGTAAAACTGGACTCAACATGAAATCCATATTTGTAATTTGTAACTTTGCTTTGTTGTCTCTCCACATACAAAATGTTCTCTGTAAACTCAGGATGATTTAGTCAGACAAATGTTTCCTTTTTGGTTCTTCCTGTGGATCAATCCTGCCCATCACCTTCACCTTTCACTATTTTTCAATTCTGTTGGGAAGAGAAACAGTTTGAACAGAGGTTTGAGTCACACACATCTGATTCACTTTTGCATTTATGAAGTTCACAAACACATTTCTCGAGCCGTTTTCCGCTGTTTGGATCCAACAACCACAGAATTACAATGTCCGAATCCCAAAACTAAAATATGACAATATCAGAACCAGAAACAAAAGTGATATGGTTCAAAAGACTTGAAAAGATCGACTTTGTCAATAGACACATCCCACTGGGAAAACAAACATGGAGGTTTGACGCTCACTTTTTCGGAAAATCCTTCCCAGTGTGAATTGTGTGACGACTGGAAGTCTGAGATTCATGATGTATGTATTAGTGCATTGGCTGAGGTGAATCCTACAGCTCTTATTTTAATTCACACACTGACTCGTGGCCAGTGTGTGAATTAAAAACACTCATTGACAAGTTCCTTTGCCTCTTCTCTGTAGCCATCAGCCAATTAATAACAGACTACAAGAAAAACCCTGAAGACCTGGAACATCTGATCCATCATCTGGAAGCACTGGTGAAGGAGTTTGGGTCAAGATCTGAAAAAGGTATAAACATTTCAAACTTCATTTATTGATGCTCAAAGATTTTACTGACTAAACCTTGTCCAGTAGAGGAAGTTAAACCTTGTCCAGTAGAGGAAGTGAAGAAAGTGAAGGACACTGCAGAGAGCAGAGGACACACTGAAGGTACATCCAGCGGTGGATTGTTTTCTGGTGAGTGATTTTATTTCTTTTGGTCTTAATTGCAGATTACAAAACAAGTAAAATGAATTTCCTTTGATTTGGCTGTAATTCAAAGTCAAACAAAGGCAACCAATAAACTCTCTGTGGCTCTGTGGTTAGCACTCACGCCTCACAGCAAGAAGGTCCAGTTTCTCCTTAACCAGACTCACACCAGACTGATCTGTGTGTCACTCTGAACTGACTTGTACACATCATCAGAGTGAACGACTCACTGAAGCGTTCAGAAAACATGAATCTTATTGGTGACAACAGCAGAAAAACTTTAGTTTCCTCCAGTTGAGAGAAAAGCACAAACATCTTCCCTGTTTACAAAAGCACAGCTCCTCCTCTGCTCGTCTGTCGGTGTCGCCGTTTGTTTTGGTTCTTTTGGTAGAACTTCATATTTTAAAAACTGTACAAAGTAAATCAGAAAATCTTGCCCATCAATCTCCAGTAAAGTTCACAAAGTGAAAAAGTTGTTACAATTTCAAAGGAACTGAAGTTTTCATAAAACAGGTTTAGAACAACAACAACAATGGAAAAATGTGTTTCAGTTAAAAGTTGTGAGTTTATGGAACAAAAAAATGAAAAATGTCAAAATCCAAATCTACTGAAGTGTTTAAAAGACAAATAGTAAAAGAAGAATTCAGTTCTGTCGGGGAGAGACTGTCCACTGAACTGGAAAAAGGACAAAAGTTCATCATCGTAAATTTAGTAAAAAGAGTAAAATGTTGATGGGACTGTGTAAAAAATAAATTATGGGATTTATAATGAATTAGTTACAATGAATCTGATTTTAATGAAGTTGTTTAACGTTTTAACTGAAGGTTAAATAAAAGGATCTCCTGTGTCATATCCTAAAGCCCAGTTTATGGTCGTGTGTCGTCGCCTGACGTGCACCTCTGACATTTTGTAACTACACGTCAAACCGACGCCGACAATCAGGGCTGTGATTGGTCGTCTCTAAATCGCTCTACACACATTTGTGATCCTCCACTCTCCCCTTTCATTTTGTAAACGCGAATGCCATTTTTAAATCCCATCCAAGTCTTGTGGAGGTGAATTACTTTGTGGATCCATAAATCAAAAACAACGGCGGCAGAGCGCGATGAGGAGACGCAGAACTATACTTCTGCTTTACACTATTATTCTCCTGCCTCAAACCTTTAATATAATATAATATATCTACAGGAGGAACCTGCCCGAGTTCCTCCATCTCCTCCTCTCTGCCTCCTCTCCTCTTCCTCTTCTGTTCCCTCTCTTCATCTGTTCCCATAATCCTCTGAAGTCACACACGTCCAGTGGGACACAAATATACAGGCAGATACAGATGTGCTGCAGGACCACAAGTTTAGAAGTGAAAGTTAAAAAGACAAAGTGCTCGGAATTAAAAACTACAGATACCTAAAAATGTGACTTAAACACAGTACAAATACTTTGTTACTTGTCAGATTCAGGGGAAAACTCCCTGATGGCAGAATATAACCCACATATCTCCAGAAAATGTGTTACAATAAACTGTAAAGGCAAAAAAGAAACTCACTTTGTCAACTGGATAATAGTTTTTTGATTGAACAGCTCATCCAAGCTTCTTCTTCAAGTCAGAACTGAAACTAAAAATCTTCTTCAATCAAAAAACTCTTTTCCAGTTGACAAACTGAATTTCTCTTTTGCCATAGATTCTACCTGGACGACGGAGGGATTTTATAAACAATAAAGGGTGAAATTAAATAGAAATGGGCATCGCAGAGTTGGACAACTGTTGGAATAAAGGACTTTTCTTTTCAGGATCGTTTGGTGGGTCAAAGCGTTCGGTTAAAGTCTACCCCATTGTTACATCTGATACATGTGGAGCTGATACAGACGTCCTTCACAAGTTGAAGAAACATTATCTGGAGTTGATCCGCACAGGCCCAGCAGACTGTGATGTGGTCCTCATCTTCTGTGTGGTTCTTTCTCGAGCTGGATCAGACGTGGCGAACGCCATGAGGAGAATTCCAGGTATAAAACTTGAACACAAAGTAAAACACATATTTGTATTAACATGTGACATCTTTTGCTGACAACATTTAGAATACAGATGTTTTTATTATTATTATTTTCAGACGCTGCAGCAGAGAAGCCGGTGGTTCTGGTGGTGCTGCATCACAAAAGAAAAGACGACCTTCCAGAAGATGGATTTGACTGGAGCTTCCAAGTACAAGAACATCAAGTGTCACGTGGAGATGCTGTTCCACGAAAGTAAACCTGGATTAGTCCAGTGTGATAGAAATAAACGCGCCATAACAAAACTACTGACCATGTGAAAAGTCAGTTTAAAAAGTGAAATCCTGAATCCATAATTTCGATTAGCTCTGTGTGTGTCTACACTGACATCTAATGTGTCGGCAAAACTGTGTGTTGAAATAAAAATCTTTTATTACTTCATTTGAATCATTTTTTCCTTCTGAGCTCACATATTTAGTAAAACTCTAAAATAAAGTCTGTGCTGGTGAGTTTAGAGTTTCTGTGGTGTGTCCTTTTCCATTATACAACTTTTATTCCAACTACCGACCTGGAAATATTCAAACTGCTTCAACATCACTCCACATGTGAACTTCCTAACAGAACGCAGCAGGAAAGGTTAAGATTGGTTTATTACAAGAGTTTTTGGTGAATATTACTGAACTGGCAGACGGACAGGGCAGAGGAGCAGCAGCTCACACCTGGACACAGGAGATGGAACGTACTGAAGAGTGCAGAAGAAATGATGTTGAGCCGCTCGAAACTTACAGAAGTTTGTAAGAATAAAGTGACAGAAAGTGATGACACTGTAGTGATGTGTCGTCCGTGTCCAGGTTTGGAAGCGTGTGTCGATTAATCCAGAAAGTCTTTGGTGAAGCGTATCGAGGTTTGTATCGTGACGTATGTGGTAACGTCCAAAGCCTCGTGAACCGCCCGAACCACGTGAACGCTTCAGGAAGTGATTCTAAACATAAAGGCCAAAGAAATGCAACAGATTCACCCAAAACATTTTGTGGTTTTCGGTTATTGTGAGTTTGGTACATTCTATTTAAGATTCTTTTTTTTACGATAGACCCAGCAAGTGGCTTTTCTGTGCACACCTGCTTCGTCTGTGCACTGTGAAAGGTTTTCTTTTCAAAAGCAGGGGAAATTCTCTGTAAAAAAGAAACCTTCTGAGTCTAAATACTGTGGAGAAATTGATATTTTTAAATAAAAATGAATAAAATGACCCTATTTTGCCGTCCTTATTGTGACATAAGACAAAAGTAGTAACACGAGCACAGTTACATTACATCCTGATCTCCAATTTGTTCCTACTTTTTCTTTTAACTCGACCTTTACATCATGAACACAGACTCCAGGTTAATACTTCACACTTTATGTTGAAATCACAAACATTCAAATATTGAATCTTTCATTTGTTCAGTATAAATCTTTCCATCAGAACCTCGATGATCATGTTGATTGTTTTATTTTCACTCTCTGCCTGTTATATATTTTTTGGCCACTTGATGTCGCAGTGGAGCAAATGAAACACCTTGAAGCGTCGGCTCAAGAGTCGAGTAAATGGATGGAACGATTCATCTCGACATCACTGTCGCACTGTGCTGTACTGGGGCGGCATTAGTGTGCATAGAGCGTTTGTCCACGGCTCCGAAGGTTGACGGTTTGAATCCCGGTGTGTGTGAATGTGTGATGGTTCCTTGTTGTAAAACACTTTAAGCTTTGAAAGTGGAAAAGCGCTGTATAAAAATGTTTCCCATCATGTACGTGGTGTTTTTGTGGGGGTTTCTAAATGACTTGAATAAAAGAGTATTTGATCTTTCCTGTTTCGTGCAGCCAGGCCAACTGCTTATGTCACTGATACTTGCTCTGAACGGACAGTTTAGGACAAGCCCAGCTGGTTTTATTTTCAGTGTTGGGGTAATGTGTTATAAAAGTAACAAATTAGTGTAATGCATTGCTTTTTGTTGTAACACAGTAATGTTCGGCATTACAGGAAAAAAACTGTAATATTTTACTCGGTACAAATGTGAGTAACATTACAAAGCTTTTTTAACCTGAACTGAAGTGGCGGGTTTTTCTTCATACAAATTCGCTAAAATGACTGCGATATCACTGCGGTGAAACGACGGAGACGCGCCCGTGTAAACCGTCAGGTGACCACGGACGAAAGGACCGACGCAGAACTCCACGCTCCACGAGAAGAAGAGCAGCTGACGCGCCCCGATCGCACTTTGTGGAAACCCGGTCTGCAAAGTTCTTCCAAGTTCTAGTACAAGATTAGTCCTGGTTTTAGTCCTGGTTAGTCCTGGTTTAGTCCTGGTTCAGTCCAGTCCTGGTTTCTGGTCAGTCCTGGTTTAGTCCTGGTTCAGTCCTGGTTCAGTCCTGGTTTAGTCCTGGTTCTGTCCTGGTTCAGTCCTGGTTTAGTCCTGGTTTAGTCCTGGTTTAGTCCTGGTTCAGTCCTGGTTTAGTCCTGGTTCTGTCCTGGTTCAGTCCTGGTTTAGTCCTGGTTTAGACTTGGTTCAGTCCTGGTTTAGTCATGGTTCAGTCCTGGTTCAGTCCTGGTTTTGTCCTGGTTCAGTCCTGGTTTAGTCCTGGTTTAGACTTGGTTCAGTCCTGGTTTAGTCCTGGTTTAGACTGGTTCAGTCCTGGTTTAGTCCTGGTTCAGTCCTGGTTAGTCCTGGTTTAGTCCTGGTTCAGTCCTGGTTCAGTCCAGGTTTAGACTTGGTTCAGTCCTGGTTCAGTCCTGGTTTAGTCCTGGTTCAGTCCTGTTAGTCCTGGTTCAGTCCTGGTTCAGTCCTGGTTCAGTCCTGGTTCAGTCCTGGTTTCAGTTCTGGTTTAGAGTCCTGGTTCAGTCCTGGTTCAGTCCAGGTTTAGACTGGTTCAGTCCTGGTTAGTCCTGGTTCAGTCCTGGTTCAGTCCAGGTTTAGTCCTGGTTCAGTCCAGGTTTAGACTTGGTTCAGTCCTGTTCAGTCCTTCAGTCCAGGTTTAGACTTGGTTCAGTCCTGGTTTCAGTCCAGTTTAGTCTGGTTTAGTCCTGGTTCAGTCCAGGTCTGGTTCAGTCCAGGTTTAGACTTGTTCAGTCCTGGTTCAGTCCAGGTTTAGACTTGGTTCAGTCCTGGTTTAGTCTGGTTCAGTCCTGGTTCAGTCCATGGTTCAGTCCTGGTTCAGTCCTGGTTCAGTCCAGTCCTGGTTCAGTCCTGGTTCAGTCCAGGTTCAGTCCTGGTTCAGTCCAGGTTTCAGTCCTGGTTCAGTCCTGGTTCAGTCCAGGTTCAGTCCGGTTCAGTTCCATATATGGTGCAAAAGTTCAGCATCCTCAGTTATTTTCTTGAGAGTAACTTAAAAGTGCTGTAATAGTCGTGTAATATTTTACATTTTAACTGCAGTAATATTGTAATGTAACTAATTACTTTGAAATGACAGTAATGAGTCATAAATATCACATTACAGTTTTAAAGTCACTTGCCCAACAGTGTTTATTTGGTGCCACCTGCAGTTTCAGCGTCAGATTCACGTCATATATACATCATAAACTCTACATCTCTGCTGCCCTCTGCTGCCACTGTGGGGTACTGCACCATTCTAATTCTTATTTATTTGTTTATTTATTTCATTCATAAAGTCTAAAAAGACATCGACAGTGTCACAACATCAAACACACAAGAAATGAATGAAAAGGAGCAGAAAGAAGAAGAGAAATTTTATGTTCTCTGCCCCTTTTTCTCTTTTCAAGACAAAACATCGACACTGAGAGTCACTTTAAAACATTTCAAATCACTACATTTCAGTTCAGGCTCAATTATTCATCAACAGCAAACAGAAATCTTCAGTGTTATGCACAACAACTTAGTTTTCTTTTTCTTACAAACACGTTGCATTTGATTTTTATGTGTTTTTTAAATGTCGTCATTGTACTTGATTCTTTTATTTCTTTGTCAACACTGTTCAGAAGTTCACTCCTTTGATGAAAGGAGTGAACTTATGAAGCTTTGCCCCATAATCTTGATTCTGAATCTGGTTTTTTAAACATGTCGGTTTCTTTTAAATTGTCGTGTCTTGTTCTCGTCTCAGTCTTTAAATATTTACAGGTGACACGCTGCACTTTGCTTTATACACACGACTTTGAGGAGATTTAAGTCGACAATATCCTGCATTTTCAACACTTTAAGTTGAATAAATCATGGGTTGGACGGTTCTCTACAGTATAAAGACTGTTGGTGATGATTCTCAAGGCCTTTTTTTGTAAAATAAATAAAGGTTGTAGGTGAGTTTTACATGTTGAACCCCAAATTTCTACACAGTCCATCAGATCTGGTGCAATTATAGAGTTATACAAGGTTAAAGGGACAGTTCGGATTTTTTTTGACATAAATCTGTATGTCGTCCCCGTCATCAGTGTTGTGCATTCACACCGACTTACCCCCCGAAAGCGTCCGGTGAGCCGAGATACTGGCCCGTTTTTGGTGCTGAGGAAAGTAGTTCGGCAAGTTGTGTGGGGATTGTTTACTAAAGCGTTTTTCTTCTCAAAAGCAACATGTGTTCAAAAGAGTGATACATTTGCATCACAAAACCATCGTTAGTCTCTCGTTAGCTCTCTCGTTAGCTCTCTCGTTAGCTCTCTCGTTAGCTCTCTCGTTAGTTCTCTCTAGCTCTCTCGTTAGTTCTCTCGTTAGCTTCTCTCGTTAGTTCTCTCGTTACTCTCTCGTTACTCTCTCGTTAGCTCTCTCGTTCTCGTTAGTTCTCTCGTTAGCTCTCTCGTTAGTTCTCTCGTTAGTCTCTCTCGTTAGCTCTCTCGTTAGTCTCTCGTTAGCTCTCTCTAGTTCTCTCTCTCGTTAGCTCTCTCGTTAGCTCTCTCGTTAGCTCTCTCGTTAGCTCTCTCGTTAGCTCTCTCGTTATCTCTCGTTAGCTCTCTCGTTAGCTCTCTCTTTCTCTCTCGTTAGTTCTCTCGTTAGCTCTCTCGTTAGTTCTCTCGTTAGCTCTCTCGTTAGCTCTCGTTAGTTCTCTTAGTAGCTCTCTCGTTAGTTCTCTCGTTAGCTCTTCTCGTTAGCTCTTAGCTCTCTCGTTAGCGTTCTCTCGTTAGCTCTCTCGTTAGCTCTCTCGTTAGTCTTCTCTCGTTAGCTCTCTCGTTAGCTCTCTCTCGCGTGGCGGCGTCTGCGCATGTAAACACTGCCGAACAACTGAAGAAAAGTGATGGATCGGTGCGCGGCTGTCACCTGGCGGCCGCGCACAGTGGTACGTACGGAGAGAAAATAGCGCCAAGCGATTATGAGATCTGACTTTTTGGCGACGATGGTTTTTGTGATGCAAATGTATCACTCTTTTGAACACATATTGCTTTGAGAAGAAAAAACGCTTTAGTAAACAGTCCCCACACAACTTGTCGAACTACTTTCCTCAGCACCAAAACGGGCCAGTATCTCGGCTCACCGGACGCTTTCGGGAGGTAAGTCGGTGTGGATGCACAACACTGATGACGGGGATGACAGACAGATTTATGTCA